AATTTATTATCGCAAATATTCAATTTAAAATTTATTCGGAAATATTAAACTACTAGTATATAATAAATTTTCACTTTCTTATGAAATATTCATATGTCTTAAAATAAAATTTATTACCGCAAATATTCAATATAAAATTTATTCGGAAATATTAAACTACTAGTATATAATAAATTTTCACTTTCTTATGAAATATATCTGTCTTAGATAGCACGTAACCTAAATTTAAAAAATATTCGAAAAGATTTTTTTCCGAATTGTAGAAATATTATTATCTCGTAACCTAAATTTAAAAAATATTTGAAAAGATTTTTTTCCGAATTGTAGAAATATTATTTGATCGTAACCTAAATTTAAAAAATATTCGAAAAGATTTTTTTCCGAATTGTAGAAATATTATTATCTCATAACCTAAATTTAAAAAATATTCGAAAAGATTTTTCCGAATTGTAGAAATATTATTAGATCGTAACCTAAATTTAAAAAATATTCGAAAAGATTTTTTCCGAATTGTAGAAATATTGTTAGATCGTAACCTAAATTTAAAAAATATTTGAAAAGATTTTTTTCCGAATTGTAGAAATATTATTAGATCGTAACCTAAATTTAAAAAATATTCGAAAAGATTTTTTCCGAATTGTAGAAATATTATTAGATACTAAACTAACTTAAAAAAATATTCGAAAAGATTTTTTTCCGAATTGTAGAAATATTATTATCTCATAACCTAAATTTAAAAAATATTCGAAAAGATTTTTTTCCGAATTGTAGAAATATTATTAGTTATTCGGAAATATTAAACTACTAGTATATAATATATTTTCACTTTCTTATGAAATATTCATATGTCTTAAAATAAAATTTATTATCGCAAATATTCAATTTAAAATTTATTCGGAAATATAAAACAACTAGTATATAATAAATTTTCACTTTCTTATGAAATATTCATATGTCTTAAAATAAAATTTATTACCGCAAATATTCAATATAAAATTTATTCGGAAATATTAAACTACTAGTATATAATAAATTTTCACTTTCTTATGAAATATTCATGTCTTAGATAGCCCGTAACCTAAATTTAAAAAATATTCGAAAAGATTTTTTTCCGAATTGTAGAAATATTATTAGATCGTAACCTAAATTTAAAAAATATTCGAAAAGATTTTTTTCCGAATTGTAGAAATATTATTAGATCGTAACCTAAATTTAAAAAATATTCGAAAAGATTTTTTTCCGAATTGTAGAAATATTATTAGATCGTAACCTAAATTTAAAAAATATTCGAAAAGATTTTTTTCCGAATTGTAGAAATATTATTAGCTATTCGGAAATATTAAACTACTAGTATATAATATATTTTCACTTTCTTATGAAATATTCATTTGTCTTAAAATAAAATTTATTACCGCAAATATTCAATATAAAATTTATTCGGAAATATTAAACTACTAGTATATAATAAATTTTCACTTTCTTATGAAATATTCATGTCTTAAGATAGCCCGTAACCTAAATTTAAAAAATATTCGAAAAGATTTTTTTCCGATTTGTAGAAATATTATTATCTCGTAACCTAAATTTAAAAAATATTCGAAGAGATTTTTTTTCCGTATTGTAGAAATATTATTTGATCGTAACCTAAATTTAAAAAATATTCGAAAAGATTTTTTTCCGAATTGTAGAAATATTATTATCTCATAACCTAAATTTAAAAAATATTCGAAAAGATTTTTTTCCGAATTGTAGAAATATTATTATCTCGTAACCTAAATTTAAAAAATATTCGAAAAGATTTTTTTCCGTATTGTAGAAATATTATTATATTAGTTATTCGGAAATATTAAACTACTAGTATATAATAAATTTTCACTTTCTTATGAAATATTCATTTGTCTTAAAATATAAAAGAAGAAGAGATATAAAAAAAGAGATATAAAAGAAGAGATATAACAAAAGAAGAGATATAACAAAAAGAAGAGATATAACAAAGATAAAAGAAGAGATATAACAAAAAAATATTAAATTAATAAAAATTTAGAAGAAAAATAAAATTTATAAATGAACACTTACCTATAAAAGAAGAGATATAACAAAAAATATTATACTAATAAAAATTTAGAAGAAAAATAAAATTTATAAAGGAACACTTACCTATAAAAGAAGAGATATAACAAAAAATATTATACTAATAAAAATTTAGAAGAAAAATAAAATTTATAAATGAACATTTACCTATAAAAGAAGAGATATAACAAAAAATATTAAATTAATAAAAATTTAGAAGAAAAATAAAATTTATAAATGAACATTTACCTATAAAAGAAGAGATATAACAAAAAATATTAAATTAATAAAAATTTAGAAGAAAAATAAAATTTATAAATGAACACTTACCTATAAAAGAAGAGATATAAAAAAAAATATTATACTAATAAAAATTTAGAAGAAAAATAAAATTTATAAAGGAACACTTACCTATAAAAGAAGAGATATAACAAAAAATATTATACTAATAAAAATTTAGAAGAAAAATAAAATTTATAAATGAACATTTACCTATAAAAGAAGAGATATAACAAAAAATATTATACTAATAAAAATTTAGAAGAAAAATAAAATTTATAAAGGAACACTTACCTATAAAAGAAGAGATATAACAAAAAATATTATACTAATAAAAATTTAGAAGAAAAATAAAATTTATAAATGAACACTTACCTATAAAAGAAGAGATATAACAAAAAATATTATACTAATAAAAATTTAGAAGAAAAATAAAATTTATAAAGGAACACTAACCTATAAAAGAAGAGATATAACAAAAAATATTAAATTAATAAAAATTTAGAAGAAAAATAAAATTTATAAATGAACATTTACCTATAAAAGAAGAGATATAACAAAAAATATTAAATTAATAAAAATTTAGAAGAAAAATAAAATTTATAAATGAACATTTACCTATAAAAGAAGAGATATAACAAAAAATATTAAATTAATAAAAATTTAGAAGAAAAATAAAATTTATAAATGAACACTTACCTATAAAAGAAGAGATATAACAAAAAATATTATACTAATAAAAATTTAGAAGAAAAATAAAATTTATAAATGAACATTTACCTATAAAAGAAGAGATATAACAAAAAATATTATACTAATAAAAATTTAGAAGAAAAATAAAATTTATAAATGAACATTTACCTATAAAAGAAGAGATATAACAAAAAATATTATACTAATAAAAATTTAGAAGAAAAATAAAATTTATAAAGGAACACTTACCTATAAAAGAAGAGATATAACAAAAAATATTATACTAATAAAAATTTAGAAGAAAAATAAAATTTATAAATGAACACTTACCTATAAAAGAAGAGATATAACAAAAAATATTATACTAATAAAAATTTAGAAGAAAAATAAAATTTATAAAGGAACACTTATCTATAAAAGAAGAGATATAACAAAAAATATTATACTAATAAAAATTTAGAAGAAAAATAAAATTTATAAATGAACATTTACCTATAAAAGAAGAGATATAACAAAAAATATTAAATTAATAAAAATTTAGAAGAAAAATAAAATTTATAAATGAACACTTACCTATAAAAGAAGAGATATAACAAAAAATATTATACTAATAAAAATTTAGAAGAAAAATAAAATTTATAAAGGAACACTTACCTATAAAAGAAGAGATATAACAAAAAATATTATACTAATAAAAATTTAGAAGAAAAATAAAATTTATAAATGAACATTTACCTATAAAAGAAGAGATATAACAAAAAATATTATACTAATAAAAATTTAGAAGAAAAATAAAATTTATAAATGAACACTTACCTATAAAAGAAGAGATATAACAAAAAATATTATACTAATAAAAATTTAGAAGAAAAATAAAATTTATAAATGAACACTTACCTATAAAAGAAGAGATATAACAAAAAATATTATACTAATAAAAATTTAGAAGAGAAATAAAATTTATAAATGAACACTTACCTATATAAGAAGAGATATAACAAAAAATATTATACTAATATAAATTTTTAAGAAAAATAAAATTTATAAATGAACACTTACTAATTCAAAAAATATTTTATCCCCCTTAGGGACTGCTACAAAAAAACATTGTCCCATCGTTGAGAAATCTTACCATTGAGATCTCATCGGTTAAATTTAAAAGTTAGAAAGATTCAAATTTATGGGGTATTTGAGTGAATTTGTTTATCTGCTCCTTTAACGATGAGATCTCAATGATATGATTTTTCTCAACGATGGGACCAAGTGTTTTTCGTAACAAATTTTGTGGGCTTTAAGGTAGAACTGAAAAATTTTTTATACAATCCCTAAGGGGCTTAAAATATTTTTTTAATTACAATACCCCATTTTCTGTGATTCTGGGGTTTTGAGACTTATAGTTTTGTTACACACTATAACAGAATTAAAATAAGAAACAACAGAAAAATTTTCCGGGAATTCGGCCCGAAGAACTTGCTTTTCTATGGAAAGGAAGGTCTCACGCTTTCTTGGCTTCGCTATCTTTTGTTGGTTTCATTTATGATCTTCGGTTCTTGCAGCTTTTGTGGATTTCGCATAGGGCCTTCTTCACTTGCCTTTGTTTTGTATGGATTTCGCTTCGGCCTCCATCATGGCTATATTTGTCCTCGCCTCCAAAGTACCACCTACTCCCTTATCATTTGTTTTGATGAGGATCATAGCAAACACTGATAATGAGGCTTATCTTTTAGTTAAACTTAATTTTTAAGTCAACACCAAAGATTTCTTTTAATTCTAAAGATATTTTTATTTTATTGATTTGTTACAAGGTCATTCATTCCATATAAATATATCTTTTGTTTGTTTATCACGGCGCTGAATTATTTTATAGCTTCTTTCAACATTTAATACAAAAAACAATTTATCTTTCATTTATTTTCTATTTAACAAATATCATAAAAGATTTTGTAAACTAAATTTAAATGAAATATATTTCAAATATTAATTTATTTTTAAATTTTAATTTAATTATTTTTAATTTCATTTTAATTATTTCTCCAAGTTTTTCTTCTCTTTTTTGTCCATATACAGCATATCCTTCGTCTGATAATGATTTTGGTATTTAAATTTTTATATTCATATGAACTTTTTCCCCTATAATTCAGTCTTTCGTCCGAATTTTAAGGCATAACTTAGGCCTATCAGACTTAATATAAATAAATTATATAAATAATTCTATTACATTTAAACAGAAAAATTGCGTGTAGAAGTCCAAACCCTTGACGACCCAATTCAATTAGGTCAACCAATTTATCGTTTAAAAAGAGCTGCATCTATCAATCTTGACTTTGATGAAAATATTGGGAGTGAAGGAAAAGACGGATTTTATTCTCCTATTGGAGAAAAACCTTTCCGTTTATTTACTCGTGCTTTGAGTTCAGAATGTCCAAAACGAGGGTGTTTGCATGAATTGGCTTTGGCTGAACCTAGAGTTCCCGGTTATTAATTTAAATTGATAAGAAAATTTTTGTGCAATTTTTAATAATTAAAGGAACTCTTTTCTACCATACGGACACAATAATGGGTAAAGTAATTCCTCCAGGTTTTTTAACAGTTGAGGCAAATCCACGGCTTTATTGTGCAATTGTTAGTGATGATTGTGGTAGCTAATTTCGGCTAGGTTGTTGGAAAATACTTTAATTTATTAAGGTGCCAATGTTCCAATATATCGACATTTTAAGATGGTTGGACCTCGTGTTTGTGAGAATTTTAATTTTATTACAATATAAAAAAACTTCTATTTTCATCGAAATGTTAAACTAGAATGAGCCTTAATAATATCCATTTGCTTTACCGACTTAGCTATCGGGCCGACCTTTTATTTTTTTTAACAAATTATAAACTCAGCCTAGTAAACTTTTTAAATACATGAAGTTGAATCTCTCTTAATTACACATTTAAATATTAGATTATGCCTATTCAACATCGCCTGATATAGAAATTCCGGGTAATTTTACTCGAGAACAAATGCCAATGTGTTTTGGTTGGAGTTTAGAAAGGCCTTCTCCAAAATCTTTAATTAAATTGAAAAACCGCGAGGCTTCCTCTTTAAATAAAAATAAAATAAATGAAGAAAAGAAGGAGAAAAAAACAAAGAAAAATAAAATTGAAGAAAATGAAGAAATTAATAATAATCTAAAAATTAACGAGAATAAAGGTGTAAAAATAATTATGGAAATGGATGAAAATAAAAAAGAGGATGATGAACTGATAAATTTGAAGGAATTAGATGAATGTTTAAATATTTCTCCTTCAAATAATTTAATAAACGAAAATAGTAAATTCACAAAGTTAACAGAATATGATAATGGGAAATTAGGTATTTTAGTTTAATAATGACCCTTGCGGCTCAATTTTTCAAATATTCTCGAGTTTGGGTTCTAATTTAGTGAGATTTAGGGGGAATAAATAATTTGTAGAGTAATTAAACCTTACAAAATTAATTACTTAATTCATTACAATTCGCATGAGCTGTTTTTATAGCTAATCACGAATAATTCTTTGTTTATAACGGGCGGTGGCATTTTATTTTTCTATCATTCTCCTAGAGTGGGGATTGAATACCTTTCTATTAGGAGGACACTAAATTAGAGTAAATACGAAATTTTATACAAGATTTACTTTTAAATAAACAATTAATTTAAAAAATTATTTCTTTAAAATTAAGGAACACTACACGATCATTTATATACGACAAACAATTCTGTTAATTCAGAATATAAAAATAATGTAAATAAAATTTATAAAAGAATAGTTAAATTAAAATTTTAAATTCTAAGAGCCAATTAGGATACGTTTTGACAGAACCTGTTCGTTCAAAATGCCCAGAAAAATGTCTAATTAAATTAGGACAAATGTTAACAAATAGAAGTGAAGCACTCGGAATATTTCGTAAATTTTTTCGAAATTTATTTTTAAATTTTAATTTAAAAAGCAATGAATGACCACAAAATTGTTATAATGGGAAAAGAAAGTGCCGATACTTTTTATACTCCAACTGGGGAAATATTTTATTGTTCAAAGAAGGAAGGCCAATGTGGGGCTAATTTGGCAATTAGACGTTACTGGCATTTGGTGGAAATGGGTAAACAATTATGACGTATTTTCAGTATTAAAGCCCCCCCCCCACCTCTCTAAATTATGGCCTCCTTTGGAGGATGACTGAAAAACAAGTACCCTCTGAATTAGAACCTCCCTCTGCATTATAACCTTTCTATAATTAAGCATCCATCTGGAGCATGATTTAAAAATAGGTCCTAGAGGTTCTATTACAAAAAATAGTGTATGATAATGTTAAAAAGTTATTTTTTATACTTTAGATACCATTATAACAGTAAACACAACATTACAACATCCACTTACTATTCCAACATGGGATGGTGTTTTGTGCTACATTTGGTCTAAAGAGGAAAATAATTAAAAAGGAAAAAATATTTTAGAATTTTATCCCATAATTTATGATAACTATAAATTAGAATATTAGTTTTTCTCAGAATTTAACGCCATATTAAAATATTAATGTTATCTTTTGGTTTAAAATAAAATCAGATAATCTAATAAATTATGTTAGTTCAATAGTACAGGGTGCGCCATAAGTAATTGCACACATTTAAATCCTTATAACTTTTTTTGTTGTCAATATTTTTAATTGATTTTAGGCTTATTTTTTAGCTCATTCAATTATCTATTATGGCTAGTCAACGTGATTCTATAATCTCACTTTTTTTGCAAAAAAATTCAGTCCGCAAAATTTCATCTCTTTTGATTGTGGCACGATGTCCAGACATACTTTTCACAAACGAAAAAATTTTTACAATAAAAATCGTACATAACCATCAAAATTATAGAACCTGGACTACAGAATCTCCTCTTTCCGATAAGCTTATCATTCAATCCCAACATCCCCAATCTGTCATGGTTTGGGCCGGTATTTGCGCGTCAGTCAGAAAACCCCTTATTTTCGTGGATTTTGGTGTAAAAGTCAACAAGGACTATTACTTGCGAGAAATTTTTCAGCGTGTTCTGAAGCCTCGGTTCAAGAGCCATTTCGGTCGCAGAGTCTGGATTTTCCAACAGGACACTGCTCCGGTACACAAAGCGAAAGAAGTTCATTACTGTTGCAAGGCCAATTTTCCTGGGTTCATTAGCGCTCAGGAATGGCCGCCCTACTCCCCCGATTTGAATCCGATGGATTATTCTTTTTGGTCTATTTTGGAGTCCAGGGTCTGTGCTAAGCCTCCCAAAAGTTTGGAGTCTCTGCGCCACTCTCTCACCCGAGTGTGGGACTTAATAACACTCAAAGAGGTGCGTGCTATTTGCGAAAATTTTTCTTCGCGCTTTCGCCTCTGTATCAAAGCCAAGGGTGGGCATTTCGAAACTTCTTGATTATTTTTGTTCCTTATTTAATTCTCTATCATTTGATTGTATTTCAATTTTATTTGATTGTGTTTTAATAAAGTTATGAGGGAAAACAAGTGTGCAATTACTTATGGCGCACCCTGTATATTAATTGAGAATTCGTAGTGTTTTAGTTGTACATTTTTTTACTTTAGTTGTACCTATATTTTATTACATTTTTAATCAACGAACAAAATTATTAACTTGAAAAATATCTGATTGATTAAGTTATGATTAATAAATCTGCTACGCCTATTAAATTTTATATTTCGTTTCAACCGGAAAAGTTTATTCCAATCAAGATTAAAGAAAATGCAAATATTATTTTTTAGGTTTTAATGGGTTCAAAGTTTTACTAGTTCAATGTTTCAAACATATAATTCGCAATTAATTACACCTCAAGTGAATGATTGAAAAAATAATTACCTAGCTAATTATTAGCATAGGTAATCAGATAATTAACATAGGTAATTATTTTTTCAATCATTCACTTGAGGTGTAATTAATCGAAAATTGTGAATTATATGTTTTGAACTTTGAACTATTAAAACTTTAACCCCATTAAAACTTAAAAAATAATATTTGCATTTTCTTTAATCTTGTTTGAATTTTCAGGTTGAAAGGGCATATAAAATTTAATAGGTGTGGCAAATTTATGCAAAAATAATTTAATCAAATAGAAAAGTTCCTCTTTCAATTATTAAATTTTTTTTATAAAAAAGGTTACTTTCAAACAAAAAATGTAAATATTTATTTGGAAATTTATTGGACAAAGAGGGAAGCCATAAAAAGTATTTCAGTTTTTATTCTTTTATTTAGACATTCATTTTTTTCTTTGTAAGATAACAAAAATATAAACTCCACCTTTCTTCAAAATTTAGATCCTTTCTTCATCCATTTTTATTATAATTTTTTCCAACTTTGTTTTTCAACTTTGTGCTTATTTTATTTTTTTAAAATAAAACTGGTTTTGCTTTTAATTTTTTATAGATTTAACATTAAAATTAACAATTTGTGAAAATGTTTACTGACGTTTTTAAGGTATTATACAGATTAATCAAGGCATATCTAAGAATTCTTATATCCGTATACACCTCCTTTCTCCTAATATTTAAGGGAATAGTAGAATTGAAGAATGTAATGTATGTTGCAAACTCATTGATAGTTATTTCAGTGAAGCTAATTATTTGAGTAGATACAATAATCACAAAATTTATAGACAATTTCTTTCGAGTCCATCTGTATCGCACGACTTTTAGGAAAACATTATCTGTATTAGTAAGCATTGCTTGACATATACTTCTAAATAATATTTACACTATAGTCTTTATCATTTAAGCTTGAAATGCTTGCTTGCAAGATCGAATGGAAATTGTATAATTTGGAAATACACAGGGAATTTTTGTCATCTGGAAAGTATTTTTCGAGTTATTTGTCTTAGTTGTTCTATCCAAATTCAAAAATTCAGGCAAGCAATTTTACAACACAAAATGTCCTTCTGTTGTATGGGAGCTGCGAATTTATCCAAATATGCTTCATGAGTACCGACAACGTTATCAGTCTAATTTAAACTTGTAAATGATTAATTTATAGAAAGAGGACGATTTGGAGGTGCACTTACTAATTTTACTACTACTGATATTTCTCTTATTCAAACGGGACTTAAAGATTATCATGATAAACTTAAAGCTAAATTTAATATTTATGCATTGAATGTTGATGGAGGTCGTGTAGATATTTGTTCGTAAGTAAACAATTTTTATAATACATGAGTCCAAATGTGGGTTTAAATTTTTTTGTGGTTTTGGAAAGAATTGGACGCTAATTTAACCATTTCAAATTCGGGCATAACTTTGAATTTCTACTCCGAAGAAAACCATTTCCCCTTGCAATATGGACCTTCCATTTGAATGATCCTCTTTAATAGAATTCCCTTTGGAGGATAATTGATAAATGTCATAAAAGTTTACGGTATTTTGATTTTAGAGAGAAATTTGATTTTCAACATGGAACTCAAACACCTAAATATCAAATTGATATGACTATGGCTTGCCTTCTAGAAGGTTTGTCTAATTTTAATGAATTTATTTTTTCATATTTCGGTATTTTTTGGATATCCACCCTCCGTTTGAGTTTTAGTAATCCCTTCCCCCTTCATGCCTATAAAATTAAGTGACATTTAAGTACAGCGTAAAAAATAAATTCTATTGGTTGACCAAAATAACCAAAATGAAGAAGGAACAATAATTGAGGTAAGACTTCGGCTCATGAACACAAAAGAACTTATGTTTTTCTTGTAAAAAACATGTGAGAAGGTAAAATATCAGTATACAGGGTGGGGCAAAAGTTCGGCGACAAATGTTTTTAATAAAATCTATTGTAAAAAAAATTTATTTAACATGAAAAAATGATAAAATATAATCAATAGGATATAATAAACAATTTTTAAAGTAATTTCTCAAAATTACCGCCACTGACTGAAATACACGCATCCAAACGCTTACGGTTGTGACTCACAATGGTCGCGCATTGTTCATAGGATATTTAGTTCCGGAATTTTCAGACCCCTGGAAATCTGGTGACCATAGGGCGGAGTAAGCTGTTTCGAATTTGCAAGTAATAGCTCATTCAAAAGGGCTCGACGAGCTGAGTTGAATGACACCAAAATCAGCTCGATTGGATGATTCTGAACAAAGTTATGACCAACAGAATCTTCGATGGAAAAACTGTTTTTGTGCTGCTACGGAGGGTAGGCCGGCTATAACGGATACTCGAACTATGGTGAGGTGGATATCCAAAAATTACTCAGATTGGTAATAGTTAGGTGTGTATTTCGCCTTTTTTCTTCATTCCCAAAATGGCACAATTCAGAATTTTATCAAACATACATATGTATAAGCTTAAATTTATTTATAAAATAACGGAGACCGATGGCACAAGCGTCTCGTTTTTTTTTCAAAATTGAACTTAAAATTTCTAAAACTTCACATCTACATCTGCGTTTTAAGTAATAACGATTTCGATGCTTGCTCGAGGATAGAGTTAACCAAAACGATACTGGTATCGGCCAACCCGAGACCGAGATTGACCTATAATGACATGAATAGTTTTTCTTGTACATTATTAAGAAGAAAAAAAGGGAAACACAAACTTAACTAGTATTACCCCCAAATTTTAAAGTAACTAATTTTATAGGCTTTATTTCACTCGTATGTGAAGTCGAGTTTGTGCCTTACAATGTAAATGTTGAGCTGGCAGATGAACATCTTTTAACTGTTAATACTTTACAAAAGTCAATTAAAAATATGTTTAAGCAAGAAACTTTTTCTGACTGCACCATTGAGGCGCGTCACTAATTTTATTAAAATTTGTCTTTAATATTTTACAGATTGGCAACGATAAAATAAATGCCCATCGTTGCATTTTGGCTCAAAATAGTCCAGTTTTCCTTAGAATGTTTGAACAAAAAGGAATGGTTGAGGCACAAAATGTATTAAAATTTTTAGAGATTGTAAAGTTAAGAAACTTGGTTAGGAGCATTAACCAGATAGTTGACCTTATATTAAGGAAGAATCAAGGTTAAGGTGTAATAATCCAGTTTGTTTCACTATTTTTCCATCTTCCCAAGATTCACCTCTATTTGCGTATGAGGGTAAATCAAGTTCTGATTCCAGTTCCAAGCGATTTGTAAAAAAACTTAAAAATTGAAATTATTTTAAAAGGGTGTAGTTAAAATTGTCGATGCTTCTCCAGAATGTTTTCGTTTAATGGTTGAATATTTTTATAGCGGTGAATTAGACAAAAGTATTAATTAAATTGACTATTATTTTTTCAAAATTATGAATTTAAGATATTTTTGAAAAACATGTAGAAGATTTATTCGCTATTGCTCACAAATATGAGGTGGTTGATTTGATTGAAAAGTGCGACTGTTTTATGTCTTTAAAAATTGGTAGGTCTGATTATCTTATGGTGTGGTTTTAGTATATTCAGGGAAATTTCAAAAATGTAGTGAAAGTTTAAAGAATTGTTTACTCAACTAAAGATTCAAAACTTTAATTAAAAATTAAGATGCTGAAAGCTTTGTCAAACGTTGCGAATTTGCTGAGTTGTATGGCCTTCCAGTGCTCGAGAAGGTTGAGAAATTTGACTTCAAAAAATAATTATAAATATTTTTTTAATTATATAGGCTTGTGTTAAATTTATGTCATTAAATCGAAAGGATTTTTTGGTTAGTAATGAATGGAAAGAATTTAAAATTGCTAATCCGACTTTGGCACATAAAATGCTTGAAATGCTGGCAATTGATTGTTAATTTAAAATACTTTTTTGATTTTTTATTTTTGGATTACACATGGAAAAATTTTTTTGTTAATTTTTATTTATGAAATAAATTCTTTTGAAAAGTTGTTCATATTTTAATTAAAAATTTTTGTTTTTGTATGTTTTGTCGATTTCATTCTGTTTTCTAAAATTTTTTCAGAAATTAACGTTAACAAAAATATCAAAAAAACGTATAAATAATTTTTTCCTACGCGTCAGGCAAAAAATTGAACAAAAAGCGATGGTCTAGTGATAAAATCTTTATTTTCAATTTTACAGAATATTCTGTTTTTCAAAAAAATCATAATAAGCAAAAATTAGGGTTGTACCCCGAACGCTCGGGGGCGGGTATGTTGGGTTACGGTGTTTTCCAATTGTTTCGGGGCGGGGTTCGGGTCGGGGGAGCAAAATATGGCCGCGGTTCGGGTCGGGGTACGGGGGTTTAGTGGAAAAATTTATAGAGAAAAAAATGCTCAAAAATAATTAGAAATCGATTTATTTTCGTCGATTTATTCAAAAATTAAGTAGGATTTGAAGAAATTAGAGGGGATTTGAAGGGATTAAAGTGTATAACTTGGTATATAAGTGGATCTGGAGGGATTATGTGGGATTTTTAGGGATTAAATGGTCTATCTAGGGGTGCAAGGTGATCTGGAGTGATTTTTGTTGGTTCAAGGGATATCAGTGATTTATAAGAATATTGATGTATTCCGGATAAGGGTATTTGGACGGATATTAGGAGATATCTTCGATTAATCCTTAAATCTCCCACGAAATCCTTGTTAATTCCGTTAAATTCACGTAATCCTTTTAAATCCATTTTAATCTAAACCTTATATCTCTTTAAATCCCTTTATAACTCCTTAATTCTTCGATATCCTACAAATCCCTTTATATTTCTGATTCACGTTAACAGGACCTCGATAGTTTTCCAATGTTATGGTTGAGAACTGGTGATACAGGAGGTTTGAAGGATTAAGGGTGGTTCAAGGGATATCAGTTAAAAATAAAATTAATATTTTCAAATTAAAATTTAACTCGTTAATAATTTGATTTTGTAAAGAAATATAAAAACAACAGAGTTCTCCTTATATGGATCCGAACCCAATCCTAGTATATTAATGAAATATCGGCTAAAACCAACGACTAAGCCACTCAACCACAAGTCTCTTAATAAAGAATGAAAGAAAATTATGATATTTCATTCATTTTTCTTTCAAAAATAATAAAAGCAAAGTAAAATGGGTGGAAATTTTTTAAATTTTCTTCATTAATTTCTCCAAAAAATGACATTTTTTTGGGGTATAAAACCCCGATAATCCCGAAAGTTTTTGGGCCAGGGAACGGGGTTTTCACTTTTTTTCGGGGCAGGGTTCGGGTCAAAGAGAATCGTTAAAAAATCGTTCGGGAACGGGGTTCGGGGTACGGGGTCGGGGTACAACTCTAGCAAAAATTCTGACATAAAAAATTTATTGTCGAAAAAATAATAAAAAATTTTAAAACCAGAATATAGTTAAAATTATACAAAAATTATTAACACTTTGGACCGTGTTTTGGTCGTTCCCTTTTTGTCCTTTTTCCAATAGACCCATTTTTCATATTCCGAAAAAAAATTTTTTTTAAGAAAAATTTAATTTTTAAATTTAATTTTTAAGAAAAAGATTAAATGAATTAATTGAAATGTTTTCATTACTAATTGCTAATGAAGGAATTATACAGAATTGTTGGCATCTGGAGGAATTAAAGAAATTGTTTCGGAAAATCTGGAAGTATTTTCACTAAAAATAATTGATTCATTGTTTTTAATTGAAAATAACGTTTTTGAATAAAGTTAATTTTGTTGAGAGATTTAATAAATTTATTCATCATTATTCAATTTCACTCAAGTAAAATTTAAACATACTTTATTATTAAAAGTATCGGGGATGTCGGAAATCGGTATTCTCCGTGCAGGTCAGGCCTTTTTTAATATTTATGTGCAAGTTTTAGCAGTTTTTTTAACTTTATTTGCTTAAAAATCCTAACTCTTTAAATAACAAATAAAATACTTCAAAGCAAATTTCATAAAAGGTCAATCTGTTAACTTTGTTTATTTTTTTTAATTTCTTTTTATTTTACAAACTATATTTTTAAAAGGGTAAATTTTCACGTGAGAAAATATAAAAAAATAAATGTGCATTAAATTATAAAATTAGAAATATCACACATCTCTTTAAAAATAATGCATACATATGTATATGCATACATATGTATACATTACATATGTATATACATTTTCATATACATGTATTGTAAATATTTTCACAAATAAACATAATTTTTTAATTTAAATATTTATAACTTTGAAAATTTATTTTTTATTAAGTTATAATTCTATTTTATAAATTTAAAAGAAATTCAACGAAATAAATAATTTTTTAAATTATTTTTTTTCAAAATAATTATTTTGAATTAAAAATATATATGTACACATCTCCTTAAAAATATATTTTCATAAATATGCCTTCAATCCTTTATAAAAGTTTTAAATTATGTCTTTCCTCTTAAAATTTTTTAAAAAGCTTCCCATTTTAAAAAATTTCCCGCTTATTGTATAATTTCAGAAAAATGATTTCTACTAAGATTGAACTTTTTGTCAATTTAATTTTTTTGTTGTTTTCTTATTCATTTTCAAATATTCAAACACATCAACGTTTTATTTTTACAAAAAATGATGAAAATCTCGTTGGAGATATTAATGTGAAGAAAATTGAAATCAACAAAACAAATGAGAATACTACAGAAAAAACTTTGGAAATAATTATTGAATTTGGTGCTTTAAACAAGAAACATCAATTGTTTTTAAGAAGTGAAGAATATTCTTGTAGCCTGTTAAATTCAGAATTTAAAGAAAAAATATATAAAGTTGAGAATTTAACAAATGAGAAAAAAGAAATTCATTTTATAGAAAAATTTAGAAATATTTACAGAAGAGGATTTAGGATTTGTTTGAAATTATATGGAGAGAATAAAGTAAATTAATTTTATTTTATTATATAGAATAAAACTATTAAAGATGAGCTATTATTTTCAATATAATAGGCGCTATTTAACTGTCGTCATAGTCTTCCAAGTTTTCCTTTAATATTCCAATACTACAAACTTACACGAATCATTCCAAGATTTATAAAATCTTGGATTTATGGAAAATAAGATTAATAGAAACACGGTCTTGCATTGTCGAAAAATGCAGGACCGTGTTTTGTCAGACATTGTTGTGCCAGCAAAACACAACACAAACATGTTGCTAGAGCAAAAGAATATAGCAAGAACATGTTAACTAAGAAATGTTCCTTGTCTCAAAATAAAATTCAAGAAAGTCTTAATATTGATAATGGGGAATATTTTGTTGTTTATTGGTTGCCCCTTTAAAACAGGGAAAAGTTTGCTCGGCGAAGTTTCTTCTATTTAATTAAAAATCTTCTATTTAATTAAGTTTTTCTATTTTTCTTTCGAAGTTTCTTCTATTTAATTAAAGATTGTTTTATATAGGAATTGATCATGATAAAGCCACTTTTCCATGCCAAACTTAATTTTCAACCAGTGCTCAACAAAGTCAATAGTAAATTCTACAAGATGTTCAAAGCAATTCTTACAAAATTTAAATGGTCATTAAATTTAGAAGGAGTAAATAATTATATTGAAATATGTGCAGAATACAAAGAAAAAGGCAACTATATAATAGCAATTCATTTACTTATTAAAAACATTAGAATGCCCGTTATTGTAGAAGCCATACAAATTTTTGTAAAAGTTGATAATGAACTCAAAAAATGTGTTTCAACTAAAATTAAAATTGAGTCAGATGAAGTGAGAAATAACTTGGGCAAGTTAAAGACAGGTGTAGGGATTGCGATTGTTAAGTCTCATAGAAATTTAAAAGATGGAGACATGATAAGTGAAGGGAATAAATTGTTTAATGATTTTGAATTATTTGGCGGTGAATATCAGTTTAAAGATGTGTTATGTGTTCATGAATTATCACCATTATTTGATGATGAGAAAATAACTGAAAATAAAAATACGTTTAATACAAATGTAACAGAATATTTGAATCAAAGAGAAGTTAAGCATTTGTCGAAAAATATTTTATTTAATGAAAACTGGCAAAAATGGTTTTTATTCGATGGAAAATTTTATAAGGTCGGGGAAAATGGAAAAGCAGATTACTATATAGATTAAAAGAATACTGCAGGAAGTAAGAGTAATTTACAGTAAATTCCGATATACTAAATATTGGGTGGGCTTCATTCACGGTTTACATTACTCGAAATATTCAACAACAAAAGAAACAAACCGGAAGAAAACCCCGGTTTTTTGGAAGAAAAAAAACCGGATACCGGGCCCGGCAATGTGAAAAGTTCGACTCTAATTTTTATTATGCCAATAAAATTTTTGAACGGAAAATGGAATATATCCATCATCTTTGCTTTTTACTTCATCTGTCGACCTTTTTTGCACCAATTTACCAGCTTTAACGTATTTTCGAGTTTTTTCACCTGTTTTACATTTTTTACAACGTATTTAGGTACAGATTTTAAGGGTTTACAACCTGAAAATCCGGCCCCTAATAATTATAGTTTAAATAAAATGATAAAAACAAATTAAATTTTAATGAATAAATGTAGAGAAAATCGTGTAAGCGAAAATAGTTTAAACAAAATCTGCCACGATCGTGTTAATAATATTTATTTATAGCACCAGATCAAAATACTCCTCAACAAAATTATTTTTTAAATTTTGGTAAAAATGTTTTTGGCAGTATGTATTAAGAGTTCAAAGTGAGAATCTAACGTCCGTTTTTGATGAATTCATATTTAAATATATTTATACATTTATATTTAAGTTAATTTATATTATATATGATTGATTAACCTTTGTATTAAGGCTAAGATTGGGGCATAAGAAAAATCATCGATATTGTCCTTTTTCCTTCACATTATCCGGAACCGA